CGGCTTAACCCGAAATAACATATTTAAATGCTGTCACTACTCTGAATACACAAGGTGTGTCCCAGAACTGGATTCATTTATGCTAAAAGTTGCAATTCTTTACTCTTTATGACCTCACAGCCATATGGTCCCGTCCCCGCTCAAACACGATTGTAATGAGCACATTTGGACTTAGCAAGTCAAGAAAGTACTGCCCGAACATACATACGTCAAGACATGAGGCAACTAACAAGTAAAGGCAAGGCAGTACATAGCCCGTGCTCTGGTTAAGCTATAGCACTACCTTCATATGTTCCAGTAAGCACTCGGACAACATCAAATTACCTACCGTATTTGCAGGCATCAGCGTCGGCCATTGGGAATTCCAAAAACGTCTGACCAATTTTTGCTTTGATATGAGTTTTCAAGCTTGACACCGTTTCATCTAAAAAACGTTGAAGTACAAGAAAAGGAGCTACCATGGTTTCTCAAAATCTGAACTTACCTGGGATGAACTTAATTCGAATCCTCGGAGTAGTGCCCTCCTTAAATTCACAGAGTTTTCTACCAGTTGGTGTATCCTTCAGATGACATCCGGACGCTTGAACGTCCAACACTTTGAATTTTGATTCTGACAAGAAAATTTGAATTAGTACTGAATCATGGGACATAACTGAGTCATAGGGACTTACTGCAATCCTTAAAGCCGATTTTTTGAAAATCCTCCGCAAACACTTGAAGTGTCAAAATAAACAACGCAAGTAATTGAACGAAATTCCTCATCTAAAAATGATTCCATTACAAGAAGCGCTCGAAAAAAGAATTGGTCGGAAAGAAAGACTCACGGCTGGACAGCACGAGAGACTGGTGTTCAATTGATCAGATCCAACCCATTCAGTCGATGCCCTCGAGAACAGCTGTGCCCTAGACGCAACCAATCATGCTGACCCAGGGATCAACAATTGGGCGGCAGGTGCCTCAGGCAGTCTGGAAACTTGGCATTCGCATGCACTATAAGGCGAAAATTTGCGAATGAACTCGGCTGAGCATGCGCATATTTCGGAAAACTTCATCATGATCTCGTTTCGATGTGGGTCTTGACCAACGCTAATCGGTGCTGTCAGCCTGGTCTTCAATGATTCACACCCCTTTACCACCGTTTTTTTAAAAGAAATCAGAACTACTCGGAGTTGAATTTCATCTGACTTTCTTGTCGCAATGTTGCTCTTGAAATATTAGAGTGAAGGTACTGTCTGAGAAGCTATTCCCCAGAAAATCACCCCATGCTGTCGTCGTCTTTCGTTTGGAGACAGTTCAGAGAGTTCGAGTCCACAAATATATTAATCACTGAGAAATGCGTACGTAGTGTTGTCATGGTGAAAAAAGGTTCAGAGATGTTACAATAGGGTTCAAAGTTCGGCAAGGATACCTCTCTCTATGTCATGAAGTCCAATTTCAAGGCATTTCAACAGGCTTTCAGCTTCGCCCGCTCAAAAGTAGGAGTGATCTTTCATAAGTGTAATCATTTACTTCAGTTAACCTCGAAATAGGTCCCATAGTCGATGGCCTCAAACAGCATCAAGGAAAATCATATCGGTGATGCAACCAACCAGGCAACCAAAAGAGAACTATGAACTTGTTCCCAACTTCCTCCGTTCCCTCAACCCTGACTACTTCATAAAGTTTTCAAAACGTGATGGTGAGGAGAGCAAAGGCATCCTGTTGCAAAGGCAAAGGTAACGTGTTGAATGATGCCGACGAATGTAATATGCCTTTGGGTAACCAATGTAATTCAAAACACCTAGTTACTTATCGCTACGAAGTCACTTTCAAACAATTTTATCACTTAGCATGAGTGTCAGGGAAGAATGAACGTGAAAGGAAAGAGCGATCCTACCTGTTAAACACCTTGGCAACCACATTCTCTCAAGAAAAAATTGATTACCCCTAATCAGCAGGGCGCTTAGGTATGCACCTAAGCTGATGTCAATTGGAATCAAGGAATTATTCTGTAGAGAACAAGGCAAGTTCAGAGAATTTTCAATGTTTGATGATCGTTAGTAAGAAGTGCTGATGTTGCATAAAGCATAAATGCTATGGCGTACACTATCACGCTGATAGTCCAGAGATCAATTTCCGGTTATATACCTGCCTAGGCAAACAAGCCTTGCACCTCTTCGGGGTCGGTTAATCGGTGCCATGTTCGTCTGGGAGCATAAAAGCACTGACTTTTACACCAGCTAGCCATTGCATGCCACTGTAAAAACGTTCAATATACCCATTCGTAAAGCCACTAGATTCTGAATTGAACTCGGATGAGGGGGCGCATCCCGAGAATGGGATTAACTAACGCTCAAGGACTGCACCCATATAATAAAAAAAATCTCAAAGTCAATAATTTCATGCGGAACTGACAAACCAGCGGAACAATCAGTCCCAGTCAATACCCATGCATTGGGAAGGCTGCGTAAAGTGCATTCACCTCTCAATGAAACATTTCAATGTGTAGTATAGTAGTCCAGTAAACTGCCTGCAAATCGAGTTACCGATTTTTTAGTGCATCCTCATAGATTTTGCTAATTGTCCAGCACAATACTGAACTTTGCTTTAATTTGTTTTTATTTATTTACTGGACTATTGTTTAAGCGATATACAATGGTGGGTTCGGAATAGCATCAGAGTTATAATAAAAATAGAATGAAATATTATATTCTTTTTTACATGAAGGATAAAAAGGAAGACGGCAAAAAAGGGGGAGGGGAGGGGGAGGGGCAGAGCAGTTTGGCTGCCCAAAAGAGGAAGGGCAGAGACTGGCCAACACTGCAAGCCGCATGGAGGGATTGCGGCCCCCTATACCAGCATAGTAGGTCCGCATAGATGCAATAGCAATAGTGAAAGTCAATATGAGAAAAAATGAGCACATCAAATCACCAAATACAATTGTACAGCATATAGGGTAGCCAAAGTACAAGAGCATAAATGCGAGAAAAAGAGGGCAAAGAATAGGAAAAATATCGTATAGGGAGAGGGAGAGAGTTAAAAGAACGGGAGAAGAATACGATAAAAACCAAGCTCAACCAAGGTTACAAAGTTAGAAAAGGTTGCGAAGCTTCGTAAAGGTTGTTAGAAACTGTCAAAGGATGTAGGAGAATCTCTTGCTGGCATCAAGCTCTGCAACTACATATAAAGTCTGAAAGTCTGATAGTTGTTCAGGTATACTGTATTCTGAGTGCGTGTTGTTGTTGAGATGTTTATTGTCAGATTCTCGGACAAATTGAGTTTCGATGGCAATTGAGGAATCAGAATTTGACGAGAAAAGAAAATTAGGTAAGTAATTTGAATCTATGGAAAAAAGACCGTAGACGAATTAAAATCGAGGGAGAAGCTTTATTTGCCACAGGTGCAAAAACGGACAAACATTCCCGAACATTCCCATTAGTAGCTGGGAAGAATCGACGTCTGTTGATGAGGGCTTGACAAACAGTTGCTGTCGTGTCATTCTGGCCGAGTGGTCTAAGGCGCTGCGTTCAGGTCGCAGTCCTCTTCGGAGGGCGCAGGTTCGAATCCTGCGGATGACAGGATGTTTTGCACTTACTTCGTTTTGCCTTCAAAAATAACCTCAATTATCTCTGTTGTTCTATGCCCTCAATTATCACTTGAGCAATATTGTGATCTATACATTTAAAGATTTTATCCAGTGGTTAGTGGAGGCTGCAGTTCAGCTACTAGTCGTTACGAGTTACCTAAAGCAGAAGTAAAGACCACAGAACGCATCTTCTCGGCTGTAAAATTACAGCTGTGACGCAAGCGTCTTTTAACTCATTGATGTAAAAAAACGAAATGTTCCTTCTCGCTCGAGGCTTTTCGCTTTTTTCAGGAACAAAAAGTAGAGTACAGAGCAAAACAAACTAATTCTTCAAGAAAAAATCA